CACCCTAAAGCACATCACTTAGGAACTCTGCATCCTGTTTAAGTAATTAATACCTCCATCAGATCTGTGCTAATATCAATAGTGTCAGAAGAATTCATTAATTTTTTTCCCACACCATGATCTATCAAGGAAAAGGCTTTTTAAAAAGCTGCCGTGTATATGAGTTGGAAGGAGCTCCCAACACCGAATGGCCTAGAAGCACCCATCTCGGCATGCTCTGCTTTGTGGATAAACGCAGATTGCTGATTCCATCTACTGATTGCACAGTGGCTTTCTAAAGTGCAGGAGTGGCCTGAGGCTGCCGTTCATGAACCCGACACCCCTGGTGCTCTCGACTGTGGAACCATGACGATTTTGCCTCATTGTTTTCCTGTAAAAACCATGAATTGTTCACCCATATCACTGAGAAGTGATATGGAGGCTCTTGAGTCAATAGCATTTCTATGACTCAAACAAAAGAGTAAAATATCCCGCCGTACCCATCTTTGAGATGCCATTGTCTAAGGAATGACAAAGAGAACTTGATTGGCTTTATTGTTCAATCAGACTCAGGGTGAACCTTGTCATGCTCGCGGGTCCCCATTAGTTCCTACAGATGCTGCGACCCGGCCCCCCCCCCATCCCCATCCCCCCTAACTCCCCTGCAGCTTCCTCAGTATCCAGAGTCCCCACTGTGCTTCCTGTGCTGGACCTCTGCTCCCCCTTCTCTGCACACCTGGGCTGCCCATCCTGCCTTGGAGCACTGTTCAGTTGGCACTTGGTCACCTGTCCCCGAGGCCCTCACCTCCACATCCCATTTCCCATTCTGTGCCACCCTCTCAGCCCTCGCACTGATCAGTGACCCAACTTCATACTTTGCCCACAGTCCGTCCCCAGAATATAACGTCCAGGAGAGCTGGAGTTCTGTCCGTCTTCATTCGCTACTGGGGCACCAGCGCCTAAAACATTGCCTGGCACTCAGTGGGCCTTAAAATTAAGTTAATAAATGAGTGAGCTCTGGAGGATTCACTGCACTGTCACTACAGCCCAATGGCTGTGTAGGATAAAAGACATTTGGAGGAACATGTAGACCATTATCATAATACTACAATCATAATACTACAATGCTACTAAAAGTCCTGTACTTTGGAGGAATAAGAAAAGGGGCCCTAATCGGGCAGGCAGGGGCGCTGAATCTGTGGAGTGGGGTGGGGGAGAGGATGAGCGAAGCCCCTGACTGTGACAGCCACAGGGCAGGGGTGGGAGAGCATGGCAGGTGTAAAATACAGCTATCCTCAAAACCCGAGCTCTCCTAAATGCTGTGCAACAGCCCCCGGAGGACTCCAAGCAGGGGTTGTGAGCCGTTAGCATGCAGCAGGCAGCAGTGAGCGGAAAGGTTGGGGGACACTAAAAGCAGAGTGGCCTTGAGGTGGCTGTCACATTAGCTAGGTGAGAGAGACAGGGCTTCGGCAGGGCAGGCGCTGTAGCTGGGAAGAGGGGAGGAGCAGAGTCCTGATGGGCTCAGAGCGGATGGGGACAGGTCCCTTCTGGGTGGTTAACAGCCTTTGGGAGAACGCTGGCCACCGAGGACTTCGGGGACGCTCGGATTTCTTTCACCACTTGCTCAGCGTATGCTGGATGTTGTATATGACCCTTGGAAGTGGCATCAGGCGGGGTCCAGGGAAACGGAAGGAAAATCAGGTGCCCTGCATAATTCCTGCCTTGTTTCTAAGTTTCTATCTGAATTTAATATTAAAAAGTTTGGGGTAAGGGTTTTAGTGCAGATTACTGACAGTGCTACTCCATCCTTAGAATTTGCACTGTGTTTATACCTTTTGAATAGAGTTACATCCACTCTGCAGAATTCTCCAAAGAAAAGTTCATATATTTTATCTCACCCAGGACCTACACTGAGATGAATTTAAAGTTCAAATCATAGTTGATAGATCTAGAGTTAAAGTTTACCCTGGCAAGCACAGGGTCATGAGTTCAATCCCCCATACCAAAACAAAAAAAGTTTAATTTGTTGAAATTCTGTGTATTTTAATCTTGAGACATGGAGAAAATATTTTTGAAAAAGTAAATAAATTTGATTATATTCGTCTTAATTGTTTGCATACAAAACATATGCAAACTATAAATGTGTCTGTCAAGAAAATGTCTAAGAAAGAGACATAATTAATAAAAATGGACCCAAAAGATTATAACTGTATTTTGGAAAATTATTTGATCCAAACTTACTAAATCATGGGGTCAGTCATAATGGAATTATTTTAAAACTTTTTGAGCCAACAGAACTTTAATTTTAGGAATAATAAACAGTAGTGTCTCTAGTAAATAATAAATATATGACATTTTTCACCCAAGCCAAGTATAAGTGTTTTTTAAAAAATTAGATAAACTAATGAATGGGTCTAAGGCATTTATCCATTATGTTTTAAATTTATATTTGTACCAGAAACACCAAGACTAATCCAGTGTGGACTCTTAACGGCTAGCAATATACCCTACTTGCAGAATCAAGTTTTAAGCAAAGAAACCTTAATTTGTAAGCTTAAATTTTATTGCCACAATGGCACAGATATATTATGGTGTTATTAATCCAAGGATACTTAAAACACATAGAAGTAGAACCTTGCTCATTAAAATGACGGGGTGTGTATGTGTGCGTGCACACACACGTACACATGTGTGCTTACCCATGTGTGTGTCTATGACTTATTTCCTACTGCCCCTCCCAGTTTCTTCCTGGGGATACATGACAGTCTCCTTGTATCCCTAACATTTTTCTTGCCAGTGGCGTTAGAGAAGTATATGTACATTTTTGGTGGTCAACAGTAAGTATACTCTGAGCAGTAAACTGTGAATGTAAGATGTATATTCACAAATCAGAATTAATATTAAATCTTAAAAACCACCTTTATTTTCAGAACTTACCAAAAGCAGCGCTTGTTTCCTAAAAGTGAAGGATATTTTCAATTAAAGTTCATTTGACTTCCTTCAATATTGTGTTCAAATATACATTTTACTAAATGTTATGCATTTCAGAGTTGTGATTAGTCTCAAACTCCAGTTTGAGGAAGTCTTGCAATAGAGATCAAGTTAGAACATACCACTAGAGAGTAAGTTACTCTCTAGTTAAAGTTTTTCATATAAAAGTTGCTCTTATTTTCATTGGAAATAGTCTGGTCTAGGGTTTTATATATATGCCGATGTAATGAAACATCCCGTTTTAGTGGATGATATTTTTTCAAGTGGCAAAGCTAGGTTTACAACGGTAAGGAAACCTTTGCAAACTGAACATGCACATTCTCAGTCTAAACATTGCATTAATGTAGTCTTTGTTATGTGATTTCCTTTCTAACATCAACATTTTAAGAAGCGAGGTACCCTGGAGACCCTTGAGAAAATGGAATCTGACACAATGGTGAAACCCAGGCCATGTCTTCCTGCTCTGAGCGCCGATCACCACTGCCTGCAAACTCGGCCTGTACTTGGCATTAGCATCTGCCGCCCAGACAATTTACCCAAGCGAGGAAATGATTCCACATGTTTATGTGCTGAGGGGCAGAAAGCCAAGATGGGAGGCCATGGTGGAGATGCAGGGGTGACTGATGCGGTGCGATCCCAGAGGACTGAGGCTAGGATGGGTTGCAGAGTCTTGCGGGTGAGCTGGCTTGGTATAGGCATGGGACCTTTCTTCCTCTGATACAGGAAAGGAGTCCTGTGGACTTGGGTTGGTAAGAGATGCCACATCGACAGAATTTACACTCGACAGTCTGTTTTCTCTGCAAAAATCTGAGATCGAGAATTGTAAATAGACGAAATAAGATGGGGAGGAAGAATGTCTGACCACAGACACGCTGGAAATAAGCTCATTAAAAACCTAGTTGGTTGGCTAAATCAAACAGGGAATATGTAAGGATGGGTTGGGTAGCATACTCTGAATAATCTAAAGCTAATTATGGAAGGAAATTATGAGTTTTCAGTGCGGACTCCAAAATAACTATGGGGAACAGACTCAGTGTTCCGCAGCATTGTGTATTTTAATAGAATAGAACGGTACAAGAGCAAGCCTTCCTCTAATGACCACCCCAGTGCTTTATTTAATGTTCCCAAGGATGAATGCGAGGAACTGATTATCTGAAATGTCACTCATCGAAAAGCAGCAACCCATCAGTTAAGGATAATGCACTACAGAAAGTGGTAATATCTGCAACTTCACTCCAACTAAATGTGTCTTTGAAAGAACTGGGAAGTACTTGATTTTTTACTTTAAAACAAACATAAAGTATTGGAATGATCACTGTGTCTCTGTGCTCTTTGCCAGTCTCCCAAAGCCGTGCATTGCTCTAAATAAAGCCAGAAGAACCTTAACTCTGGCTTTCTGATTGAAAATTTACATTTTCTGTGTAAATATTCTCATTCATCTCACCATATACCATGCTCCTGCCGCCACCCGCCTCATGCAGTGAGGCACAAGCTTGCAGCATCTCTTCTTCAAGTACAGTCAAGATGTTCTAGCTCTGCCTCCCTTATTTGTAAGCAAGGCTTGTGCTGGGCATCTGGCCGCCTTTCTAAGAGGAAGATGAGACCAGAATATGTTTCTCTGTGGTGCTATGCAAGTTCACAAATCTGCCTCCTAAAGCCCTGCGGATGCAGAAGTCCTGCAGTACATTGCTTTGCTGAGGAACTGTGTGCCTTTCAACTGCTTCTGGCAAAGTTCGACCTCGACCCTTTAAAAGATGGATGGGTCCACCTGCAGGTTCTTACAGAATCAGATGCCCTGGTGCAGTGAACTTTCTCAAGGAGAAGATGAGAAATCCTTCTGCATGTGTTCCTTTAGAAAACATAAAATAGCTTAAGATATGTTTTGTTCTGCTGACCAAGAATCTTCTCTGAACATCTGCATACTTCAGGGTAGCAAGGAGGACCTCACAGACAGTTGTTAGCTGATCATCTTAGTTTAAATGGCTGTGGTCTGCTGTTAACTGACGGGTTTCTTTTTTTTTTTTTTTTAGGGTCCTTTGGGGCCTCCAGGACAAAAGGTAAGTATACAACAGTGCTGGGAAAGTAATTATACTCCATTGCCCCGTAGCTGGAGAGAGCTACTGTAAGCCACTGAAGTATTTGGTCTGTTTTGTACATTCTCCTTTCTAAAAACCACCATCATGTAACATAGCATGAGATTTCTACTCAACTCCATTGTATAAAACTTATTATGTCCAGTGCAGGCTCCAAACTATGTGCTAAACCTGTAGGTTATTGAATTTTTAACTCAAATACTGGTAAAGGCTTGAGACAAAACTGGCAGTGTCAAGGATCATAAGACATTGAAAACTGAATTCATAGCCTCTTCCAAATGAGTAATTGCCAAAGGCCACAGAACAGATCAGAATAAACCAAGTGTTGGTGGCTTGGTTCACAGTATGACAGTTGTCTGTCAAGTGTCCTCCTTTGCCCCGGTAACATGAAAAGTGACTTCCTGATTGTCCTGCAGGGCCACTGACCATGACATTGTGCTGGGAGGATCTAGAAGTTTTGAAACTATCTGACGCCACAGGTGTAACTGTGTCCCTAGCAGGTAGATGACCATATGCCAGCAAACATCACCAGGTCCCTCTCCACACTGCCCACCAACCTCCCACCCTGCAACTTGAACAAAACTTAAAAAAAAAAAATTGTATGATAACAGGTGGAAAAGCAATTATTCTTTATCTTTGGAATTCATCAAAGATAGAGACTTTTTATCCCCCATGCAGTGGGCGTGCAGCATCTGTTGAAATGTAATCTTGCAAACGAAGCCAAAGCCTTGTGAGCTGTGAGACACCTCGGGTGTAGGGACACTGTGGCCCTTGTGATAACGTCTCTATTATGCGTGGTGTGGAATTGTAAAGCTGCCCTAATCCACGTTTGACCAGGATCAAGTTACGGCTTCAGGCTTGGGGAAGTCCATTCAGGACCCACTCATAACATCACGGAATACACCTCAGAACTTGCCATCCTGACTGGTCTTGCGTATAATTACTATATTTAGAACAGTAATGACTATTTTTTTAAAACCTTTCCCCATCATTATTAAGGAAATTTAATATACATGTTGTAAGGGGGGAAAATCTGTTTTCTAGTTCTAGGCAAAGAATAAGCACATTGTATGTAAAAATGGTTTCTGCAGAACCTGAAAAGGAGGCGTTAGAGAGGAAAATGACATCATGCCTGCTAAGGTTCCTGCATCCACTTGCACGCCCCCAGTAGACCTTCTCAGGGAGTAATTAGTGGTCTGGTCTCATGTCCCCCATCCCCGCCCAGCCCTTGCTCCCGGCCCCTCGATGCTGATGCTGGGCACACTCGTTTGTGAACACACCTGCTTTCATTGTCCCTGGCCTATGTATGACATGCATGGTTTTGTTGGAATTTGCACTTCAGGGACTGCAGCAGCCCCCAGCAAGGCCGAGGAAAATGTGTCAAATGCAAGACATTTGCATTTCCAACACGGCCCCCTTCTTTAGCTATGAAACAAGTGGTTATGATTTTAACTACTTTTTGGTGACATACTTAAATTTGTAAAATGTAAGAATTGCAGTCACTGTGAGGCTCCTTTCTGTTTAAGACTTTTTATTACAGCTTTGGGCACTGAACCCAGGCCTTCACTCTGAGCCACATTTGTAGCCCTTTCTATGTTTTGTTTTGTTTTGTTTTGAGGTAGGGTCCTGCTAAGTCACTAAATTGTCCAGGTGGAGCTTGTGCCTGTGATCCTTCTGCCTCAGCCTCCCAAAGTGCTAATATTACAAATGTGTACGACCACAAAAAGACATAGAGCCATTGAGATATGGGCCCAATTTATGATAGCAAATTCTTTGAAATCATAATACAATTAAGTGTATTTTGGGGAATGGAGTTAAATTTTAACTCCAATTTTGGAGAAAGCTTGAAAGTTTTATCTGCTTTATTACATATTGAACATAATGGGTAAGATCTGAACAGCATAATCTTAAAATTTTTCCAACAGAAGTTGTAATTTAGCAAGGCGCTATTATGTCTGATACAACCAAAGTAAAATACTTTGTGATTATGATATCAACCTGCTTTAATGATGTGTCTCTTTAGGGCTCCTTTGGAGCACCTGGAATTCCAGGAATGAACGGGCAAAAGGTGAGTTCGGGGCAATAAAAGATTTCTTTTACAATATAGAAACCATTAAAGTCAAAAGTCTAGTGAATGATGTTATAGGTTAGTATGGTTATATAAGCACTATACATACTTTTGAAATACAGAAAAATTCTGATACAAATGACCATATTGGTTTAATTCTTTCAGACATGTAAAAAACTAAAAATTTTCTGTGTCAGTAGTTTGGCTATATCAAATTTGCATAAGTTACATTTGTGACACAACTACCTTTCTCATATATAAGATAGGAAAATGCTATATTTAACATTCATCGCCATAAACAAGATGTACTCTAGTTTATTCTGGTGATGATTAAACTAATATGTATTATTTCTTTGGTTAGAGAATTAATTCTCACAGAAGAAATCCATTAAAACCTTCCAAATACAGAAGCAAGCTCTTTTTGCTAAGCAAAATTAGGGGTTAAATAAAAACATGTCCCAAACTCTGGTACCACACTTTAGCTACACTGTAAAAAGGGAGGAGGGGTGTGAATCAAAAGAAAACCACAGTAAAAGGAACAAAAGGGCAAAGCACTCCGTACAGGCATCTGCACATGTGCACATGCGGTGGTCACCAGCCGCGGGGCATCCAGCAGGAGCCCGGAAGCCTGCTCCCCGGGTGCCTGACCAGCACTCCTGTCTGGATCCCATACAGAGACCAGGAAAGCCACGCTGAGCTACTAGCAAAGCCCGGGGCTGGAGCCAGGGCACCTGAGCTAGGAACTTTCCTGTCGCCTTCAGAGCTCTGGGCTTGGCCCTGGGAATCCTGAGGTTCATGTGCTTATCCTCCCCAAATAGTTTAAATTCATGCGCTTGGAACCAAATTCTGAAATCAGAAGCAGCCCAGCCGTGACAGAGGAACCGGCCTCTGCAAGGGCCCTTTCCATCCTGCCACCTCTTGGGCAGCAAGTAGGTGGAAACAGGCACAGGTTTTCACCTTACACTGAGAGCCCGCACCTGCCACCTGGAGGCTGTGTGAGTTTCAGCAGTGGCCTTGAGTCCTGGCCACGGCCACCTCCTTCGGAAGAGGGAGACTGGCAGTTCCTGGCTAGAGTGAGGTCAGTGGGAGGATCCCGTGAGTGAGGAGACGGGACACCTTACAGCGGCTTTTCATAGAAGTGGGAAACCTTCCCTTCACTCATGTGGATGAAATTCTGGAAATGTGATCAATCTGTGTTTCAAGAGAGACTTTCTGTTTCCAGAATCACCGAATTCCCAAGTGAAATTAATGTTCTCAGTCAAGGTTCTGGCTCCCTTCGTCCCAAGACCAAACACTGAGCGAGCATTCAGCAGCTCCCTGCCCGGGCTGTAACTCTGTTTTCCACCTAAGAAACGGTCCACCTGTTTACTTCAGAAATCTTGGGAAGGACGAAGAGTAACTTTGTGCATTGAACCTTGCAGATAAGGGGTAGAAGTATATACAGAGACTGAACGCGTATCCATTCTAAAGCGGACTTGAACATGACATCCCTCAAATTATTTTTTAACATTGGTGAAAACCAAGACTTTATATGCCTAAGCCTGTCTTCCTTTCTTTTCTTTCTTCTTCTTAACTTAGAGACAATCATGAAAATTTATAGAAACCTTTAACCCGGAACAAAACAACTTTAAAACTGTCACATATCCTCTTTTGAAGACTGCCTAGTCTTTATCTTTGCAAGGAAATATGCAGTGTCCTTAGCAAGAGAAAGGAATGTGACATTTTCTTGTCCTAGACACCAAGTTTAAGTTATATTCCAAGGAAAGAGACAGTTAATATTTGCAGCTTTATGTTTTGTTACACATCTTTCTGGCGTTTTAAATATGTTTTCTCTAAAACCTGAAACGAAATGATTTTGCACTCCTGTAAAGAGCTGAGTAAAACGTAGTCTGAATTTGTTTTCTGTACTCGATAGCTCTAGACCTGAAACTCTGTCTACAAAGCTTCTCTCAGTTCTAGCCATTATCTAGCATAGTAATAGCTGCTGTGTGATCTTTAGGAAAATACAAGTGCCCTTCACCAGACATAAGCAGTCGTGCAGACATAGAAAGCCACCTGGCCGCACGTAATACTTCTATGGTAAGGGCACCTGAAATGTATCTTAATCATTTACAATGTGTCTTTCTAAGAGGAAAGCCTGCAATGACACAGTGACACTTTTTTTAAAAATAGCACTTCATTATCCTTAAACTCTCTTAATATAAGTGTTTTTTATTTCAAAAGCAAAGCCATAGACACACAAAGAGTAAAAATAATGATACAAAATTTCAAACAAAATAATAGGAAATTAACACTAGTTAATATATTGCACGTTGTTTTCTTCACTCAGATTATAAGAAATAGGCTTGGAAAGAAATGATCACGCAAAGAACAACAGCACAAACTGTTCTTTTTGATGAAGTAACAGAATAGCACTATAGTTGTCTCATATGTATATGATCTTTTCCCTAGTGTAAAAAACTGAAAGAGTAAATAAGATCCAAGCTGTGCAACAGATATTGTGAAAATGGGAAAGAAAGCGGTCTAAAGGAAAGAACAAGTGGGATAGAGGAACGGAGATAAAAAATCTTTACTTCCACATTACAATTTCACTTTTTCCAAAGATGTACTTTTGATGCTTAGACCCCCCATTTCTAGCTAATGGTTAAGGGAGGATAGCATCTTTAAGACATCAGAAATATGGCAAATAACCAAGAAATAAAGTAGTTTGTTTTTCCTCTCATGTTTGCCAAAAGAAAGAAAGCTATTTTAAGAAAACACTTCGTTTTCTGCTCTAATATTTTCCAGCCACTCAGCGCGGCCCAGCTGGTGACTAGCCTTGACCGATGCCCTTGGTGACAGCCTTGTTTCACGTGCGTTTGCTTTTAGGTACTGGTCACCCCGGCCGCTAATCTTGATCTTTTGTTGTCTGCCAGTTCTTCCTGTGGTATTCAGGAAGCGGATTTCATGAGCAGTAAGGTGGTGCCTGGCGCCAGTCCACCCTTTCTGGGTTCTCAGCCTGCCAAGAGCACCAGGTGTCTTTCTATGAGAAGTGGACAGGAGGGGACAGAGGGAAAAACACAGTCCCCACCAGACAGGGGGTGCTCGTGTGCCTACTGGGCAGGTGACCTACTTTCTAGGGCGCCAGTGGAGAGGGCCAGACCTTGCAGTAGTAGCTGGACCACCACACACGTCTGGCAGCCAATGCCAAGCCTCTGATTTAGCACCACTGAGCTCTGTGCATGTCACAGATGAGCCTTGGGCTTGTGCAAGCCAGGAGCAGACAGCTGGTTGCATTCACCTACGAGGACAATGAGTATGTTGGTGACTGAGCAGGTAGAGACTGTTGCTGGTCCCTGTGTCTCCCCCACCTCCTGCCCAGGTAGGAATGCATAGTTTGAACATCAGTACCACGGGCACAAGAAGGAGACTCCCCACCTGTTTCTGCATAAGCACAGTCACAGGTGGGCTGAGGCCGCTGGTTCTGGGCCAGGTATTCTGTCTCCGAAGGACCTTTACCTCTCTGGGCTCAAGGGCTTCATCTGTAAAATAAAAACAACGGCTGTGCCAGTTGGTGTCTAATCCAGGGATGCCGAGTCCCGCTCCCTCTCCAGCCAGCGCCTGGCATCTTCTGCTTACAGCTGTCAAAGCCATTGATCATAGTTCAGGCTCCCGTTCCCAAGCAGAGCAGTTAGGGCAGATGCAGTGCACACCTTGCCACAAGCAGGGAATGCCGCTGCTGCTGCTGCTGTGGAAGGGTGCTGGACACAAAAGTGAGTTTTGTCAGCTGGGTGTGGTGGTGCACACCTGTAACCCCAGCACTCAGGAGGCTGAGGCAGGAGGATCATTGGGAGCTCAAGACCAGCCTGAACCCGCGGCCAGCCTGAACTGCATCATGAGACCCTGTCTCGAAAAAGAAAAAAAAACTTTTGTCATTCTCATGAATATATCTTGCTGGTTAAAGGCATATTAGCATTTTATTGGTGTTCTGTGACTCCCACTCACATAGGTAGAGAGAGAGCTCTACACCTGAATACTCATCTGTCAGGTGCACCCTACCCCAGGTGCAGTGGAGAAGTCTGGACTAGTTAAAACCATTCTGTGGAGGAGCCATTTTTAAACTTGAAGAATCCTCTGATAGAATTTACAGATTTTTTTGTAATTCTTATTTGTACACTTAAATGTCCATTCTTTAAACTCCATTTTAAACTCCAAGAGGTGTTATTCACCATGCTATATTCTCTGCTCCTTACGCATTTTCACTGTAATTGGCATCTGTAAGAGCACCTCATCACCGTGGCAGTTATCTGAATAGTGCCCAGTACCCCGACTGCACACATTCTGAGGGAGAAGCCAGCTGGGGACAGAAAAATGGTGCATGAGAAGTCTGATCTATTTATTTGCTTATTTATTTTTTGTATAGGGTGTTGAACCCAGGGCCTTTGCACTGAGCTACAGCTCCAACCCTCTTTTATATTTTTAACTTTTGAGACAGGGTCTTACTAAGTTGTCTGGGCAGAGCTCAAATTTGTGACCCTCCTGCCTCAGCCTCAGCCTCCACAGTGCTGGGCTTACAGGACTGCACCCCCCTCCAGATGAAAAGTCCAAGTTACCCAGCACTGAGTTCACATCCTGGTCTCTCTGTTACTATAAAAATAATGTCAAAGATTTTCAGTATTAAAAAACAAGTTACCTTATACACAAGCTGGATTTCTTCTGAAATCCCAGGGCACAGGAGTCCATTCTTAAAAAAAAATAAGAAATATCTAGTGATCTTATCTCATGTATTTTTCAGGTGCTCTTCTAGCATCTATTATTATCTTAAAACTTCTAAATATCATACGGATGAAAATTTGACATTTGTGTGTGACCTGTGAATGTATCCCAGAGAGCAATGTGGTTTTAAATAACATGAAACTTTAATCGGTTTATAGTCCGAGTACCTGGGATTCCTTGTCCTCTTTTCCACATGAACCTCGCAGTCCTGCGCTGACATTTGTCTGCACAGCACGTGTTGAGTG